ACGAAACCTCTCCCATCCCCGCCCCAGCCTGGGGCGTGGGCTCTGAATCAGGCTGCATCTCTCCCAGGCAGTGCCATCTGAGGGCAGGCAGCAGGAAGGGACAACCCTGCTCAAAGCTACAAGGACAGCGATCAAGCAAGGAAAGGCTTAGTGGAGCTGAACACGCTGCCTCCCTACTCCTTCTATCCACCCCTCATCCACTCATCTACTCTTCCACCTACCCACCTACCAATCCACTCATCCATGCATCCATCCAGCCATCCAGTCAGCCAGCCAGCCATCCACCTATCCAATCACCACATCCATCATTTTTTCCTCCCTTTCTTCCTTCCTTCCTGGCCCTGGTCAGATCCTGAAAATACAGAGCAGCTTCCCATCCATGGTATATCTGTAAGGATATTTCTTTTGAGTAAAAAGTCTTTCCATATCCTTTGCTTGAATTTCAAATATCTGGTGACAGATTTTCCTACTTTATTTCTTAGCACCATGTTTCACAGAAGAAATGACGAGAAGTAATCCCCTGTGCAAACTTCATCCAGAGAGCCTTTGTGGTCCCAGATGCTGCCAGCTGCATGCATGCATCTATTGCATCCCTTTTTTGTGGAGTCATGGGCAGCTGTGACTACTGTTAGTGATTTGAGCACCTCCTACGTGCCAGGCCTTGTGTGTTAGAGGCTTTAGGTGCTTTAGATGCAATGCTCTTCTTGCTGTCTCGGCCAGTCACACTAGGGAGCTACGAATGCCCCATTTTACAGCCTGGGCTTCGAGCGCCTGGTTACGCAAGGTGCGCAAGGTTACGCACCTAGTAAATGGTGGTGCAGGATTTAACCCACAGCCTGACTCAGAAACTAAGCTCTGTCTGCCGCCCCCATGCTCTCAATGACTCAACCTTTCCCAGACATGGAGTTTTCCCGGTACCCTTCGCTGAAGGAAACCTTGCCCACAGGAATGCAGGTCGTTTGTGAGCATGGGGTCATGTCAGATCTCAGTGCTAAGCTCTGGAGGCTACTCAGGAGGGGCTCTCCCCCATCCCTTACCCCAGGCTGGCACTCAGGGGGCTGTGCAGCAGTGACTGACCAGGCCACGTGTGCCAGTCACCATGGAGTGGCCTACTCAGCGGGTCTGGGGTTGGGCTCCAGTGGCAATGTTTGTAACTAACGCCCTGGGGGTTGTGATTTCATTGCATTGGGGAGCCCCAGCCTTACCTCCCACGCTAAGGTGTTAGGGGGAAAAAAGACAAATCAGACCCCTCCCTGGTGGGTGGTTCTATCTACCCACTCCCCACCCCATGCTGGAGGAGGGGTCTGCCTAGGCCCTTGCCGGGTCTTGCACAGGGCAGGCTAGTCCACACAGGAACATTTTCACTGAAAAGGTGACTCAGCCTGGCTTGTGACTCTGTTACGTGTCTGTGAAGGTCTCAGGGGAGCTGCCACACCTTTGCCTTCCCCCATCACAGGGCTGCCCCGGAGAACTTGGGAGGCAGAACTTCATCTCCACAAGAGAGGCACAGACGGGCCCCCCTCAAGCTGATCTTTCACGCCCCTTGGCTGCCCTTGGCTTGTGGGTGGCCGAACCCCATAGAGTTTGAGCTCTGGCGTCAGGTTGCTCAGAGTCTAACCCAGACTCCAACACTTCGTAGTGTGGCAACCTTGGGCACCGTCTTAGTCTCCTTGTGGCTCCGTTTCTTCATCTGTGGGTAAGGATATTGGCATCTATATTGTACTGCAGAGGTGTACAGGCTCAAGTGAGATATTGACAGAGGAAGGTCCAGGGCACAGTAGGTGCTCAAGGAATGTCATTGTTATCCTGCCAGGTTGTCATCCAGCCTCCCTGCAAGGAGGCTTCTGCCTGCCTGTCTGGGTGGGCCCCAAGGATGGGCCTTTGCCCCGTCCCACTGGGAGCAAGGCCCAAAGTCAGGCCACCTTGGGCAGCAGCTGACTTGGGAAAGTGCCCAGCACTGGACTCTCCCTGCCACGTCTGCCTCCTCAAAGCCTTGTTCCCCATCAGCCAGGATGAAGCTGGAGGCCTCCCTGGCCCTTGCCCTCTCCTGGCTGTTTCGCTGGGGCCAGATGGCTGCCACACCTTGCCCCTGCTCTCCTCTCTGTCCCACCTGTCCAGGCCCAGCATGTCTGAATCTGAGGGCCCCTGGGTTGTGACGCTTGTGACAAAGAGATTTCCTGAATTAGGATAAGCCCGGGTCACGCACTAAGACTCACAGAGAGCCTGGGGGCAGGGACAGAGAGAGACCCCAGTTCACACTAGACCCCCACCTGCTAGCTGTGGGACTGTGCAAGTTACTAGATATGGCTGAGGCTTGGTTACCTCATCTGTGAAGTGGAAATAGCAGCCGTGATATCCCAGGGCTGCCTGGGGATGAAATGAAGGGAGGTGTGCGGAGCACACAGCGCTGTGTCTGCCCGGGGGACATCACCTGCTCCTCATCTTCGTCCCCCTTTTGTGTTTTCAACTCCTTAGCATGAGACAGCGTCGGACTCAAACCCAGAAGAAACACTCCTGAGAATCTGTTCATTCACTGGACATGGGAGACTTGGGGGGCAGGATGTGCTGTCCCCTTAACTCAGCCATCTGTCACTCTGTAAATTTCACTCATGGATTTCAAATGTGGAAGGCCCCTGTGGCCCAGGTCGTCCTCCCATCCCCTGAGGAGAAGACGTTGATGAGTCCTCTAACATCAGCCTATTCAATCAGGTGACTCTCCAGCTCAAGGTCCTTCAATGGCTCCGCACTGCTCTCAAGGTGGAGCCCAAGCTCCTTAGCCTGCCACGCACAGCTCTGCAGCACCCGGCCCTGCCTGCTTTTTTAGGTGCGTTTCCCCCGACCCTCTACCCTCCCATCCAGGACCCTCAGGCTTACTTCTCTTTAAAGCCAAGCTTCCCAGTCTTCTGAACCTTTGCACATACTGTTCCCTCTTTAAGGAAACATCTGCCTGATTCTCCCTAAACACACGCATGTGCATACACCGCACACACACACACACACACACACACACGCACATGCACACACATGGACATATGACTCAACAATGACTGCCCCTTGTTTCCAGCAGCCTGACCCTTCCCTTTGGGCTCCCCCAGCTCCTCAGCTTCCCCAGGTGCATTTCAAGGTTTCTTTATCTGCCCATCTCCCCTGTTCCCATCCTGGCCACCATGAATGCCTCTGGGACCGGGGCAGTATCTCCTTGTCTTCCTCCCCAGGGGGCAGCCCAGTCCTGTGCCTGCCCTGGCAGGAAACAGAGGGTTGCCCGAGCTGACCTCTCTCTAGGCCAACACCACGAGGGAACCCTCCACCTCTGCTCGCTCCGCACTTACCCAGGCTTTCCACCAGGCCATCTGGTTTACCTCAGCGTGCCTTTCGTCAGGGAGATGAAGATGTACCGGTCAGGCCTCCCTCCACTCTGAGACTCTGCACACTTGGCCCTGCCGCACTCAGAAGAGCAGGCGGCTTGGGGGTGGGTGTGGTGGCACCAGCATGCAGGCCCCAGGCCCCACCCCGTACCACACCTGCACACACCCCGCGCTGCCCCCGGGCTCTGGGCTCCTCCTGTGGCTCTCAGGCCCCACCCTGGCACCGGCCCAAATGCCCTGTGGAAACACACCGCTCGCCGCCAAATGTCTGAGCTGTGGCTGTTACACAGACTGGGAATGCTGAGCTCCAACCTGTGAAAACCCCACTTAGCAAACACGGGTCTTCATTCGGTCTTTGCTAGACCTGATCTATAAAAAGGAGTCTGTTTATTGCACGGCTTCTCCCCAGTGAACAATGTAATGGGGAGCTCCGCAAAGGACATAAAATAATAGCAGCCTCTGCTGGTTGGGGCGTCTCTATGCCTAGATCCCTCTTTAATCACTCTGTGCACTCTATCCTCTTTAATCTTTGCCACAAAAGTTAAATGGAAACTCCAAGGTTTAGATAATTGGCATAAGTCACACTTCTGGTGGGAAAAAGCCACGTGATCCACCAGGCCTCCTGGACTTGCCCGCTCTGCCACGGGCCCTGCAGGACACGCTGGCTGCCAAGGGAGACAGGAACCTCTTGGAAAGAGGTTAATTCTTTCCTTTCTGGAGTTTGCCCTCCTTGGGGCCTCTGCCTAGAACATTCCTTAGCACCACTCTCCCCATGCCACCCCTTAACCTGCCCTTCAGGGGTTAACCTGCCCTTGTCTCAGCGACTACCCGGTAACCCCTCCATCCTGGGGTTACTTCCTCAGGGCTTCCAGAACCCCCATTGCTCCTAGGGCCCCAGAGAAAAACAGTCCTATGCTGGTGTGACTTGCATTCAGTGAAACCTCTCAGGGTGTTGATGAAAAATTAATTGGTTGATCTAAGAAAGCAATGGAAAATTTTATTCGAGCCAAATTTGAGGATTATAACCAGGGAAGAGCATCTCAGAAGGCTCTGAGAACTGTTCCGCCTGTTAGAAGTCAAGACACAGCTATATAAGTCTTTTGAGACAGAGGGCTGTACATTAAATGACGTGTTATTAATAGTTTACGCAATCCAGATCTAAGCGCCGTGTGACCCCTTACAAGATCAAGAAGGAATGTTATCTTTTAAGGAATTGTCCGGCCTGTGCTAGGAGAATGTTGCTCTTTATGACCGAGCACGTGTTTCTGCCCACGGGAGGTCTGGTGCCGGATGCACAGTGCGGGAGAGGGGAGGCCAAAGGGCAGAGAAAATTGTTCATGTTTAAATTTTTCTTGTCTTGCCATAAAATACAAATTTTATTTCATAAGGGTAGTAGGTAAGAACTGTCCCCTCCGGATTCCCGACCCTGGTTCCAGTGCTCCTTTCTCTACACAGTCCCCAGGCTGTTCCTTCTGGAAGTGAGGGCTGGGCGGGTGGGGAGGGAGCTGTGCCCGCGTGTGGAGGGGAGGGGAGGCAGCGGGGGCGGGGCGCGCAGCCGCTGCCCAGGGCTGCCGTGGGAACTGGACGGTCATCACACAGAGCTGTGGGAAGCCACCATAAGAGGAAGACTGCAGCCTGCTTCAGGTCACACGGACTGAGACAGGGCCTGCTTGGGGCCCCAAACTCCCCACCCTCCTTGGGAGCCCTTGGGGCCAGAACCAAGGCGTCCTCACTGGTGAGTCTTTCTCGGGACCTCAGCTGCTCACGGGGGCCGTGCCCACGTCATGCCATGAGGATCAGGGTCTGGGGAGTGGGTATCCTCCAGGGGGTCTGTCCAAAGTCAGTCATGAGGATGACCCTAGCTAGGTCACCGCAGTGTGGTGGCCCTGGGCCGAGCCCAGAGAGAAACTCTGGACTGTGAGACCAAGACAGGCCACAGAGCTCGGTGCAGAGAGAATGTCAGACAGGATCCTGCCCTCTGAGGGTCCACAGTGCACAGCGACCCAGTGAGGTCACAGGAGAAATCCTGCCCTCGGTGACCTGCTCCCTCCAGCACTTGTGCCCTCTTCTCAGGCCCCGCCCTGACCAGCTCCTGCAGGCGGGACCTCACCTTCGTTTTGAAACTCTGGGCTTAGCTTCTAGGATGGCCAGCACTCCTGGCCATTCTTTTTCATCTCTTTTCTGCAATCAAACTGTCCCCTAGGACTCCTCTCTGGGCTTCCATTCTTCCCCCTTTTTGTTGGTGGTTCTGAGGCTAGGCTGCCCTTTGGGCTCACCTGGGTACCTCCTACCCCAGAGACGAGAGCCCCAAGGTCTGCACCTGCTCTTTTGGGGTGCCCTTGGCTCAACGTCCCCATCCCAGAATCACCCGCTGACATCATGTCACTATGGGTCTCTGACGTCCTGCGTCATCCCCACGTCCATTCTGGAACCTCTCACCCACCCACTTGTGTCCATAGCCTGCCCTTGTGCCTACTTCCTCCTCCTGAATGGCCTTTCCTCACTCCTGGCTGGGCGTGGGCATCTCGCCGGCCCCGAAGAGTGATCCTCTTCCCCCACGTTACCTGGCTGGGATAGCCATGTGATGTCACAGAGTCAGGCAGGAAGAAGGTGCCCGAAACCATGGGGCTTGCTCAGCCCTGCTGAGTGAACACTGGCCTGGCGTCAGGCAGGGTTGGGTCTGGCTAGCCACACCCTGGGGTGACTGAGCACTCTGTGTGGGGTCCTCATGGGTGAAATCTTTGTGGTCTGCCCTTCCCACCGCTCAGACGGGGACTGAGGACCACACACAACAATGAGGCTGGCAGAAGCTGGCCTGGGAGGTGCTCAGTACCTAGCCAGGCCAAGCTAGAGTTCTCGTGAGGAATGTTAGGCTCTTCTGATCGGGGAGGGGGTCTCAAGATCTCCAGCGTCACATTTCACTCATGGCACAAAGAGCAATGGCCCTGCTGTGTTCCCAGCGCTCAGCTGAGAGCGGGCCGTGCTGAGCCTGCAACCCTGGCCCGGGGGAGCAAAGCCTGTCCACAAAGCCCTGTAAGCTGCAGGTGAGTGGCAGAGAGGAAGGCAGAGGATGCTGTCGGAACAGACAGCAGGGCAGGGGGTTGGGTCTCATCTGGATCCCCGTGCTGGGAGGCTGCTCTGAGGAAGCGATGTTTCTCTGGGCCCTGAGGAATGGTTGCAGTTAGCCCAGGAACAGGGCTGCAGGTGGGGTAGCAGACAGGCAAAATGGAGGTAAGGGATGCCCATGGTGGGGTGCTCGTGTCCAGGTCGGGTGTGTGTGCCTGGGGCTAACTACCTATTAGAGCGAGGGAGGGACACGTGGGAGGGTGTGGCCTGTTCAGGATGAGAACAGCTGCGGTCACCAGGGAAAGTAACGGGGACTACACAGGAGCCTTGCAGGCCGTGGAAAGGGTTTCTGCTTCGCCAGAGCACACTGAGGCAGTGTGGACGGCGCACAAAGGAGAATGGCATGATCTGGTCCAGGGTCTGGAAGCCTGCAGCTGTGTGGAGCCAGTTGGGGGGCCGGAGACCAGGCAAGTGAGGAGGAGGGGACATGGGGTTGCAGACAGACAGGGCAGAGATGGAAATGGCGGCAGGATGCGGGTGTGAGCGACAGAGATGTCTCGCAGTGCAGGGAGTTGGAGGCCAAGGGGTCCTGCGTCATTCTGTGGATGTTGAAGTTGCCGGGGATAACAGTGGGCTTTGGGCTGTGGGGCAGTGTCAGCCAGGTGCCCGAGTCTGCAGTGAATGAGGAGTAGAGGATGCCCATGGGGAGAAGGGTGGAGGATGGCAGAGCGGAGTGGCCGGCCTCTTCCACGGGGCCCCAACAGCATGCGGGGCCCTTACACTTGGGCACGCTGGGCTCTGGCAGAAGGGCTGGGGCCGGCCCGCTGGCACAGACCCAGCTGCCCCAGCCATGAGTCTGCTGTTCATCACAGGAAGCTGCACATTTGGTGGGAAGCCTGTGGGTGGGACAAGGCCATGCTGAGGGCTTAGGGCAGGGTCCCCCCAACGCCCCTAGTACTCTGCCATCTCTCTAGGTTTTCAAGCAATATCTCCAGTCTCCAGAGAGGGGAAAAATAGCTCTCACCATTGACAATGTGATAGAAGGGGCCGCATAATGGGCATGTAATCAACTAAGAAGTGAAACAAAAGTCTCCATCATGCTTGCTCCATGACTCTGCTAACACTGTTTTAAAACTGATTTTTAAACTGGGCTAGTAGGCAAACGTAAGTTCTGAACATGAAGTTTACCACATCACACCAGCTTCCTGCCATCCTGTCCTCAACAAGGCACCTGGGCACCCAGTGCCTGAAGCTATAGGACAGGAAGGCCCCTGGGGGGCGAGGGTGGGACCGTAGGCAACGCCCATTAGCCCCCTGTGCCTTCTGCCCCCTGGGCCCCCAGGGTTAGACTCCTGCTGACTTAGGCCCAGCCCATCTCTGAGACAGGGCAGGACCCCCGTCCCTGGCCTCCTTCCCCTTTACGTCCTTCTGCTTGCATGGTGAGCACCTCCTGTGGCGGCCATCTGCTCTCTGAGCCAGAGTTTGCTTCCTTGGGATACCTACCACCCATGGGTAGCAGAGAAATAAGGAATGAAAATTCCGGATTTCCAGTTACAAGGAATTGTGTCTTTGGGTTGAAAACCCCTTGTCATCTTTGGGCTCATGAGCTGCAGTGCTGGGCATCCTGATGTCCCCTGGAGCCCCAGAATCTCCACAAGGATCATAAGCGTGGGGCTGCAACACACACTTCCTCAGCTCTTCACCTGTCAAAGGTGAGGATGAGTGGCCAAGGCCCTTCCTGATCTTGCAGCAAGTGGGTCCCGACCCAGCATTGCCTCAAACTGCCAGGAACTCGGTGCAGGAGCTGCCTCTGAGGGGCCCCCACTGTGTATGTGCGTGCAGGGAGCTACGTACACAGTCATGTTCTGTCTTCACACAGCTGGGGGCACTACGGAGGTGAGGGTGACCTGCCTGGGGTCATCCAACTTGCCCATCACAATGGAGTTGAGCAGGACCTGTGGCCTTTTTGTCTCCAAAGCTTGTAGGAGTCTTTTCCCAGGACCCCCCTCTTCCCTAGAACCCACTACTTGAAAAGAGGTGCTCCTGATACATGGCTATTATGGGCCGAGTTGTGCCCTCCCCAAATTCACCTGTTGAAGCCCTAACCTCCAGGACCTCCAGAATGTGACTGGAGATATGGTCTTTACAGAGGTAGTTAAGTGAGGTCATATGGGTGGGCCTAATCCAACATGACTAGTGTCCTTATAAGAAGAGGAGATTAAGACAGACACAGACAGAAGAAAGACCATGTGAAGACAGGGAGAAGACAACCGTCTACAGGCCAAGGAGAGAGGACTCAGAAGAACCCTGCAGACACCTTAATCTCAGACTTCTAGCCTCTAGAATTGTAATAGATTTCTGTTGTTTAAGCCACTCAGTCTGTGGTACTTAGCTTGGGTACAGCCCAAGCAAATGAATAGTGTGGCTTTGCTGTTAACTGAACCCACACTGCACCACCCCGTTTCCTGTATCTAAGGGTCTCCCCTCTCTACCTCCACTGCCAAGCCAAGCCCTGTTCTCCCAGCCGTCACAAGCCCAGTCTGTAGACTGGAGGTGGCAAGCAGGTGTGGGACCTTCACAGAAGGGGCAGGGGTTGGGGGCAGGGAAGAGCGGACATGAGGGGCTCTGCTTGCCTACATGGCCCAGCTTCCTAGGGTGTCAGGAGGACAAAGTAGGTGGGAGAAATGAGTAGGGATGAAGGATGTAGGGTGACAAGGGCAACTCCTGGAGAGACAGATGGGTCAGGCTCCTTAACATGCTGAAAATACGTTGGAGGTGCCTGCTCAGCCCACTGTCAAGACTCTCAAAACCGCCCCCAGGCACCGTGCTGGGCCTGACAGCAGCCGTGTTTGTACGTGACCCTGCTGGCTGGACCAGGCATGGACATCTCTCCCCCAGGGCTGGGGCGCTGGGGAGCAGCCAGACAACCTGAGCGGAGGACCCGCAACCAGGAACTGTGCACAGGAAGGCAGAGATGCGGGAGAAAGAGCAGACGCACAGAGAGGGGGAGGGACAGAGGCCAGTGACGACACGGTGCAGAGAGCAGGAGATCCTGCAAGAGAAGGCCAAGCATGGACCCCATGGAGTTGGCAACATCTGGCCCCATCGGGGCCTGGCTGCCTATCCACCCACGCGTGGGTCAGGACCCACAGCCACTCCAGCCCTGTCCTGCTGGCATCGGCTGTGGACTCTGCCTCTGCCCAGCTTGGAAGCAGGTCAGGCTGGGCTCTCCTGTGTGGAGACTTCAAAGGGCAGGATTTCTTAAACTTTTCCATGAAAATCCCCGGTTGATGGAGAACATGAGTCAACTGGGCCCCGTTTTGACATGGTCTAGGAAATGTGTGCAAATTGTGTGGTTCCCCTCAAAGATTCATGGTTTAAAAACGGGCTCGCTCAGGGCTTCCCTGCTGGCGCAGTGGTTGAGAGTCCGCCTGCTGATGCAGGGGACACGGGTTTGTGCCCCGGTCTGGGAGGATCCCACATGCCGTGGAGCAGCTGGGCCCGTGAGCCATGGCCGCTGAGTGTCCGGAGCCTGTGCTCCGCAACGGGAGAGGCCACAACAGTGAGAGGCCCGCGTATCGCAAAAAAAAAAAAAAAAAAGGGCTCGTTCATATTTACGAACGTAGTTTCCGTACGCTCTGAGAGCTCCTCCTTCTCCGGGGCTGGGCAAGAGTCCTGCACGCAGAAGGCCCCCGATCAGTAGTCCTTGTGGCTGCCCCTGAGTCACCCAGGGCCCGGCCTGCATGGGCCCTGCAGTCCTGGTGGCTCTGGTGAGGCTGGGTCCCCAGTCCTGCTCACCACCCAGCCACCTCTCTGGAGTCCGGTGATGGGCAGCGCCCGTCTGACCCCAGACCTCTGTCTCCTGCCCTCTCCACTCTACTCCCTCACTCAGAGACACAAAGCATTGCCCCTCAGGAGCTTCAGTCTTGACACAAGATGGAAAAGAGGTTGACTTCGGGGCACTCATTTCCCACTGAAAACAGTCAGGCAATACCAAGGGCCCGGCTCCCTGCTAGGAATGTGGAAAGGAAAGCAGAATGAGAGCATGACACAGAGTGGACACGTGTGCAGATTGCCCAGCACAGCGCAACTAGGAGCCCCGGGCAGTGCTTGAGAAACGGAGTTCCCTTCTGCCACCCCGACCTCCTCTGCATCGTGGGCACACGCCGGGTCCTGATGCACAGACAAGAGGGTGGGAGGACTGCTGTTAAGGCCACAGCTTTGCCAGGTACCCAAGTTCCCTTGCGGGGGTGCGTGTGCGTGGCTTCTACTTGCGTGCTTGTGGAGGAGGCCTGTGGCTGACCCTGCGGGGGTCTGAGGGAGGTTCCTGGCTTCCAGAAGCTCAAGTTTTGGCCCAGGCTTGGAGGTCCATCTGAGTCTACAGAGGCTGCTTTACACGACACCAAGAGGCACTCAGAAAATGTACGTTTTTGTTGCCCTAGTCTAAAATAAGGAAGAAGCACTGCCCAGTATATTCCTCTGTGTACAGGTCTCAGCTTGGGGCAGCTCAGATGTGAGACCTGTTACCTAAAGCTATCCTGCTCCATGTCAGGACTCAGACAGAAGGGGGATCTGGGACAAAAGGCCGCCCTACAAGTCAGGTATCAGCTGAGGGCTGTGCCCCCTTTCCTCTTTACTAGGGTGAGGAGCCCCTGGTTAATGCCAAACCAGAGGGATTGGATGAGCTAGAAGGAAGGAAGGCAGGGGGACAGAGGGGCCCAGGGGTAGACTGCCAAGGAAACTCCCTTTTCCTGCTGTCTCCTGTTACAGTCCACCGCAGAAAGGGAGGCCGGGGTCAGTGGGTGTGGGTGCCAAGCTGTGGGCTTGTGTCCCTCCCAGATCTCCCCTCACCTGATGAAAGTGATGACTGCCTCCCTCCTTAGTTCAGGGGTCAGGAAGGAGTGATGGGCTAAACATGAGAAGGCTCTCAACATCCATTAATAAACAGACATGTGGATTTCAGCCAGGGCCACGTTAGGCTCGTTATTGAATCACAGATACATTTCTCCATTTAGGGTCTCAGAGTCTCAGAGATGGGTATGTACTATTTTACAGGTATACACAGACACATAGATATAATGTAGGAGCACAGAACCAGGTTCAGAAAAGTGTCCCTGACACTCTCAGGCCTGGACAATGCTTTCACCAGTTACAAACGATCTAAAATATTCCACTTCTAAGGAAGAGATAAAATCTCTCTATAGGATTTCACTTTATTTAAACCCCCTTTCTGCCTAAAAAAAAAAGTTTCACACACTTTCCTTGGTATCGTGAGTACATTTTCTTTTTTTGAACGTAGGGAAAGTTACGGTCATCACTCTCCATCCACTTCAATCAGTACAGATGAAAAGCCCAAACCTGACATATTTTTACCTCTAGTTGTCTTATAGAAATTCAACTGAAAGGCATAAATATAACATTCAAGGAGATGGGAGTGAGGGTGGAGAGTAGTTCAACTCACTATCAATGCAGATTAGGGACAACTGGTTATTGCCCCAAGGCCCCCCACCCCGGGGGACCCCTCCTTGAGTGCTCCCGTGGGCTGTATGCATGGCGCTGGAGTATCATACAGACGCCCTGGGTGGTGGGGAGGACACGGCATGCTAAAACATCTCTGTCGGAAGCACGGTTTCTTCTATGGTGGCAGATGGCAAATAGGGGAGGTGGAACTTTATGGAAATGGAGAGACTCCTCTAAAATTCCCCTGGGCCTAGGGACCGGTTGGTTTACCTGGAAAGAGAAGATGCATTTCTGGAAGATGCACTTCCGGCTGGTGAACTGTAGAGGGCCTCGTCTCTTTCTGAGACACGTTCGCAACGGAGGTAGCCAAAAAATGGAAACCAGGAGCACGGAGTGAAGGAGGTGAGAAATTCAAGTACTTCTCTCTGCGTCAGATTAGGGAAGGAGGCACAGGATACTATTCATGTTTCAAAGACGTTTTGGGCTTTGTTCAAAGAGCAGAATTTGACTAAAACTCCACGCGTCCCAGCCCTTGGTGACCAGGGCTTTGGGGAGTGGGACTCATCATGTCTACACCCACAGGATGCCGGGGTGCTTTGTCCTGGCAGGAGCAGTATACATACGTCTCACCAGGTAACAAACTCTGATCAGCAACAAATTCCAACGCCTTTCGACTGTAAACCAAGTCTCAGTATACATGTCTAATTCAGCAAACAAAGGGCACTTAACAATCTTGGGTTCTTGGTGCTTTAGAGGTTGGGCTACGGGGGCTGGAGTGACAACGTGGCTCCGCAGCATGGCCGGGCAGGGGGAGAGATGAGCGGCTGCATCCTGGAGGGAAGCCTGGAGCACACGGGCGGGGGGTATTGGCACCGTGAGCAGCAGCTGTTGACGGAGAAGCACTCCTGGCTGGGCTGAAGGCAGACCTTAGGGCTGCAGTGCAACTGCCCACAGTGGGGCTTCACGAGGGCGAAGTTGAGGCACTTCCCCTGCAGGGGACAGAAGAGACAGAAGGTCACTAGGAGCCTCTGGAACTGGGAGCAGAAGGTTGCGGTTTCCCTGGCCTCTGGGGCCTGCCGAGCTCCTTCCCTGTCTCAAGCCCACCCTTCTCCTGCTGCCCAGAGTTCCCTGATCCCCCTGCTGGGTCTGTCTTGGCCTGTTGGTCCCTATAGGTGCGCCACGTGGTGTGCAGACTTCAGGCTTCCGTGAGCCTGCCATTCACGCGTGAAGTGTTACCCTGAGTGCCTGTGAGTGACAAAGGCCACTGAGCGCTGCCTGCTTCTCCTGGGGCTGTCATTTTCATCACCCTAGCTTTTAAAATCCTTAGTAACCTTTTAGAATGATCGTGGTTTTCCCTGGTAATGTAGCCACATTAGGAAAAGAGAACACCTAACCCCCCTTGAATTTGAAAGAATGTTCTTAACAAATCTTCGACACCTTGAGCCTGACCTTGTCCTCTTCCATACCCACAGGGATGTCTGATCTGATGAAACTTTCAGGAAATACACCCTGCTTTGGGACCCGCACCTCTGGGCGCAGAGCAGAACCAGACCCAGAGATGGGAAGGGATTTCTCACTCTGACTTTCCCCGGCATGACAAGCCTGAGATAGTTTGGTAAATGTCACTTTCTAGCAACTTTCTATGTAAAATCACCTTAGACTTCAATAAGTTAATATTTTCTCTTTTACAGATAAACATTTTTACTTTTCCTGATCATAAAAGTAGTACCTGCCCATTATAGAGAACCTAAGCAACACAGGAAAATATTCACGAGGAAATGCATGCTTCTTTTCCAACCACCCACAATAACCGCTATGAAGGGGATCCTGAACTCTCGGCAGACAGCAACTTCTTTGATCATTTATCAGCAATTCCCCTTTTCTGATCTCCACCCCCAGCTGGCCGTTCTCCCTTCCAGACGCACGGCCCAGGCTTGCCCTCTCCTGCCACCTTCCTGCGGGTCCTGTGTCATCCAAGTTCACATCCCCTGCCTCCTACTCTGCAGGCCTCTTCAGCCTCTAGGTCCCCAGGCCCAGCCTCGGGGCTCAGTCTGCCCGAACCCTGTCCTGAGCCACGAGTGTCTCCAGCTGCCCATCCGTGCTCTGCACCCACTGCCTGTCCAGGCCCTCAGCTCCCTTCCTAGGCCGACTCAAGTGTCTCCTCTCCCCTGGTCACCTGGCCCTTCCCCTCCTCCCCTCCCCCCCCCAATCCAGGCCTCATGGAATCAACTTCCTCTGGCTTCCTCTTCCTCAACTCACACCTTCAGCTGTGCTTCCTCACTGTCTGAGAATCCAGCCCCAGTGCCCAGCCTGGCCCACCAGGCCACCCAACCGCCGGCTCCTGGCCCATTGCCAACACTGCCCGCACGCACCCAAAGTGTCCCTGTGTCTCAGCTGCACCCTCTGTGCTCCTCTGCTCCAGGGTTGTCCTCCCTGCCTCTCCATTTCCCATATCCAGACTACCTATCCTCTGAGGCCGCCTCTGCCCTCCCGCAAGTCAGTCTGGGAGCGCCTGGGCCACACAGCCCCCAGGGCACTGGAGCTGGTTCCCTCTTCTCTCAAGCCCACCAGCAGGGTCTCCCTCACTGGCAGGACCTTCACCCTTCCTGCCCTAGGACTGCACCCCAAATTCCTTAACTACTCTTAACAGTTCATTTACTTAGGTGAATTTTAGAATCATTTTGATCAAATTCCTTAAAAATATTCATTGCAATTTTCACTAAAGCAGCATTAAGCCCATGAATTCTTTTGGGAAAAGCTGACATTGTGGTCTAGGTTTTTGTATTTTCAAGTCTTCTCTTCTAGCGAAGAGTAAAGTTTTGTGGTTTCTTTTTATTACAGGTGAGCACACGTTGTCACACCTGTGCGTGGGTAAGTTCTTTTATTGCTACCGTGAATAGACTGGGATTTTCTATTTTTATTTCTAAGCTCCTTTATTCCTGCTTATTTATCCAGACGGTGAAAAGACTGTTCTAGACCTAGTGTCTACCATCTGCTGTAGGACCCCTTTGATTTCCTCAAAGCACGACTGCAGGGCACCTGTGCTGAGGCCTGGCTCCTCTCCCTCAGCTGCAGCCCATCACTGGGAGCTGTAGCGGGACGTGTACGTGGGCTGAGGGAGAGAAGCAAGTGGCTCCAGGTGGTGGTGGAGGCCCCTGGGTAGTGGCAGAGCCCCTGAGTCTGTTGTGTGATCATAAGGGGGTGAGGGAGGTGACTAGGGGCTGAGGGGGGTCTCCCTCCCCTTTGGTTTTCTATTAACGAAGAGATCTAAGCCAGTGACCAATTACTTCTTACATCAACTCAGCGACTCCACAGTGAAGGGATGTTTAAGAGATTGGCAAATGGTTGATTGAACCTTGATCTCCAGTGCTTTGGAGCTTTGGTTCCATTTCTGGATTTCCTGCTTATTACAGAGGGAAGTGTGTGCACACGTGCACATGTGAGCGTGTTTGTATGTGTGAATGTGTGTGAGAGAGTCTGTGTGTGTGTGAGGAGTAGGGGGTGAGGGTTGTCGAGCATGGAGGAGCAGGCTGCTATCACTGTCCCAAAGTTATGATCTGGGACTTTCACAAAGGTCACTGTCTTGAAGGACATCTGTCAACTTGGGACTTTCTGGAGGGCTCAAGTCCTGCCCCAACTTGACCACACATGCCTTGGTGCTCCCTCTGTGGGTGGGGTCAAAAGATAGGAACTCAGGAGCTCCTTGGCCATGAATGCATCATACGGCCTCTCTGCAGCTCTTATCGTTACCCAGGACGATTGTTTCCAATAAATATTTGTGTTCATATTTAGAGGAGGTCTGCAAGCAACACAGTGTGAAAGTAAGAAATTAACATGCATAACTGCACATCTAACACACTGCACAGAGGAAGGAATTACTTTCCAGTTGTTTCCCTATCACCGTGATAGCAGGTTACAGGCGCTGTAGCCTGGACTTGGAAGTGAGTCTCCCTGGGCTCTGTTCACAGCCCTGCTGTACCCCTCCAGAACTCTGTCACATTGAGCCCCTCATGAAACATCAGAACCTCGGTTTCTTCAGCTTCAAAATGCAGAGGAGTGATCATCTGGCAGGACAGAGAGGCAGCCAAGCACAGGGTGAGGTCTGGGCCCTGGACTGTTGCTACTGGCCTTACTGCTTCATGCTATGCGGCTGGGCAGGTGACTCAACTGCTCAGGGGTCAGCTTCCTCCCCCGCAGAGTTTTGGGAGGATGAAAAGAGTGAGCCTGGGTAAAGTACTCAGTGTCTGGCGACCCCTACTCTGTATAAACGGCCGCTGTTGGGAGAATGAATGAGATCCTTGTGTAAAGGGCCTTGCATGGTGGTGGCACCCAGGTCACACTCTCTTGGAGACAGTTGTACCACTGTCAGCATCACATTCAGTGAGAAGTGGAAGGTTTCCCATTTTTACCCGATTTTTCTGACGGATCTAGAACTGATTTCCATGAACTGAATGGGCTGCCCTGGAAAAGGCAGGGAAGGAAGAGAATCAGGACCTTGGATTGGGGGCAGGGTTTGGCTCAAGACTAAGAAACTAAACTGAGTCTTGCTGTGTCATTTTGTATATGTGTGTACACTTATACAAAAGGGACACATTTTAGAAGGGACACTTATTAGAAAACTTCCTCTGGGGATGAGATGGCGGTGGGGCAGAGAGACACGGTCATTTCACAGAAGGTTACAGTAAACAAGAATGACTGCTTCTGCTACAAAAACACTGAGATTTTTGGTAAACTGAGCCTTTGAGAATTTTCTGCATTGTACTGTGCTGAAGTGCAGAAACATCTGGATTGACTGAAACAAGCAGCTGACTGAGGTTTTAGAAGGCAGTATCTCCTACAAGTTCAACCCCAGACTCCACAGTTCACATTCTGAGCACGTTCACATCCGCAGGCCTGACTGCAATTCCAGTCCAGGCTGAGGAGTTTGGAAACAACCTCCCTGTGGATCGGGAACTGGAAGGAGGAGAGAGAGGCTGTGCACCTGTGCTGCTGGGAACCTCCTCTCCTGCGGCTTCTGTTTTCCAGCACAGCCTGGTGAAGAGGGTCTGGGCAAGATTCTGTCTGAGCAGAACACAGGGTGGTCTGCAGTGAGCAGACGGAAGACTTACGTCTGCACGTTCAGGGCTGGGGTTGGGGGCCGACTGTGGTCTGCAGAGACTGTAGGTCCCAG